CAAATATTCCAAAAATTTATCTGAAACTGAAAAAGACCCCCCAGTAGCCTCTGAAATTTTGAGAAAGGAGCAAAGTTGGAGGGAATCACAATACCAGATACCAAGTAATACTACAAAACCACTGTAATCAAAAAAGCCTGGTATTGGCCCAAGAAAAAGCATATAGATTAGTGAAGCAGAACAGAGAACCCAGAAATTGACCCTAGCTATTATGCTCAATTAGTATTTGACAAAGGAAGCGAGAGCACACAATGAAGTAAAGATAATCTCTTCAATAAATGGTGCTCGGAAAATTGCAAAAAAAAAAGCAAAGAAACTAGACCACCAACTTACACCATACACAACAATAAGCTCAAAATGGAGAAAAGAATTAAATGTTCGTCATGAAATCATAAAAATCCTAGAAGGAACCATAGGCAGGAAAATTTCAGAAATCTCTTGCAGCACTATGTTTGCCAATACATCTCCTAGAGCAGTGATGGCGAACTTATGACACGTGTCAGAGGTGACACGTGAACTCATTTTTTTGGTTGATTTTTCTTTGTTAAATGACATTTAAATATATAAAATAAATATCAAAAATATAAGTCTTGCCGAACCGGTTTGGCTCAGTGGATAGAGTGTCGGCCTGCGGACTAAAGGGTCCCAGGTTTGATTCCAGTCAAGGGCATGTACCTTGGTTGTGGGCTCATCCCCAGTAGTTCACTGTCCTAGGGCAAGGGAAACTAAAAGGAAATAAATTGTACTACATCCAAAATAAAAAGCTTCTGCACTACAAAAGAAACCATCAACAAAATGAAAAGGGAGTCCTAGTTTGTTTGGCTCAGTGGATAGAGCATCAGCCTGATACTGAAGGATCAAACAGTTGAATTAGAAAATGGGCAAAGGACCTAAATAGACACAGATAGATGACCAAGAAACATTTTTAAAAAATGCTCAAAGTTACTAATCATCAGAGATGCAAATTAAAACAATGAAGTATTACCTTATATGTGTCAGAATGGCTACCATCAACAAATGATGTGTCATTAGACACCAAGGCTAAGATCACCCACATTTTCATATTCCCAATTACTATCTACAAATATGGAAGTTGGACAGTGAAAAAGGCAGATAGAAAATTAAATCAATTCTTTTAAAATATATTGCAGGAGAGTTGTATGGTACCCGGAACCACCAGAAAGATGAACATGTGGGTCCTAGAGCAAATTAAGCCTGAAACATAGCTGGGGTCAAAAATGACAAAACTGAAGCTGTACTATTTTGGGCACATCATGAGGAGGCAGTTACTTCAGCTCTGACATTCTGTGGATCTATGAAATTAACACAGGATGTTTGAAAAAGATATAGGGAGATATAAATAAGTGGAAGATTATACTGTGTTCATAGATTGGTAGAATAAACACCACTAAAATGTCCATACTGCCCAAAGCAATCTGTAGATTCAGTGCAATCCCTCTTAAAATACCAATAGCATATTTCACAGATCTAGAACAAATACTCCAGACATTTATGTGGAATCAAAAGTCTCTGAATAGCCACAGTGATCTTGAGAAAGAAGAACCAAGTTGGAGGGATCACAATACCACTTAAGTTATCCTACAAAGCCACTGTATTCTAAATAGCCTGCTATTGGCACAAGAACAGTCATATAGATCAATGGAACAGAACAGAGCCTAGAAATCAATCCAAGTCATTATGCTCAATTAATATTTGACAAAGGAGGCAAGAACATACAATGGAGTAAAGACAGTCTCATCAATAAATGGTGCTGGGAAAATTGTACAGGTACATGCATAAAAATGAAACTAGACCACCAACTTACACCAGCCACAAAATAA